CTGCGTGTTTGTGGGTTTTGTGGTATGCATACATACATAACACCTCTTCTGAGCATTTTTCTTGGCAGTAGTAGGAGGCAGTTGTATGGGGTAGTGATCACCAGGCCTCAAACGAGATGACGTCTGTGGGCGCTGGTCTATTGCAGGAGTTGCTCCTATTGTACTTTGCAATTATTTGTCTGATTACTGACAGGCAAAATTCACCATATTTGGTGTTTTGTTGGTCTTCAACTTGTATATGTTATAAGCATTTAGCATAGTAGTATCAACAAGATGGAAAAAAAGTTTTATATACCACTTATAACTCTTGCGTACACAGTCTGCAAACCCAATCTGCATGTCACATTTGTCCACTAAGCGCATATTGAGGTTGTAGTCCATGACAGCTGCAGCTTTAGAATGGGTTCATTGGTCTCTCTGTTGTCCCTGCCACTGGTACCATTTCGTTTGTGTGAACTGATGTCAACAATGTGACATCACGTTTGTCATGCCACCGAAATGCCATGATGTCATTGGCAGCAAAGGCTTGCACCTCACCTCTGCGAGTGCCAGCGTCGAACCTTGGCATATGTTTGCGATTACCACGCACTGTGCCACACACGTCTGTCAAGTTCACTCGCAAGAAATCACTGAGTAAGGGCTTGTGTACCAGTTATCATAAATAACATATGCCCCTTACCAAGATATGGTTCCATCATTGTTCGAACCACATCACCGAGATACCCAATAACTTCATGGTATCTCTCAAAGTATTACTGCCAGTGTACACAATAATATCTAAAACAGACCACTTCTGCAATCACACAGTACAAATAGCTTTATACCAAATGTTTCCTCTTGCTTGGTATATATTGCTTGAATGAGAGTCTTCCTTTGAATAAAATCAAGGACTCATCAATAACAAGCTTCCTGAAGGGATAAAAATACATGCAGCACTTTTGTTTCAGGTACATAAACACATTGTTATCTTATATAACCTGTCGCTTCTGTCAGGCCTGGTTTTGTCTGAAAAGTGTAACATACGCAACAGTATCAGGAAACGATTGACACCTATAATGTCACTAAAACCTGGAGTTGAAATCAGACGATCTGTTGTCCAGTATGTGGTGACAGTGTGCTTATACACATGTGGCATAAGCATTATTGTGGCAAAAAACAGGTACATCTCTGCCACAGTTGTCTCCTTCCACTTGTGTAGCCGTGATTTTGGTGAGAGAATTGTATTTGCCATGGTGTATTCACAGTATGTGTTGGTTTCCCTGACAATGATGTCCATCAGGGGTTCAGCGAAGAATAACTCAAAGCAGTCCAGTTCACTGGCATTGTTCCCAAGTGGACAAGATGGCTTTATTCCACTTTGTGTTTCATCAAAGTCATGGGGACTGGGAACAAACTCGTCACCGTCCTGCCAATCCCAGATGCGGTCTGCTGGTGGGGTCTGGATATTGTACCGTGGTTGTGGCTGTGGTTGTGGCTGTGCAGGTTGTGGTGGTGCAGGTTGTGGCAGTGTGGGGTAGAGTGAGGCTGGTTGTTCTGCTGAGTCAGCCGCGTGGCTAGTAGCGTGGCCCGGTGATGGTGCCACATGGGCCGTGCCACCCCTCACTATCACCACCACTGCCTCCTCCCTCACTGTCACCATTCATACCCATCGTTACAATATCGTCATCTTCACTATCAGGTCGTGGTGTTGGGCCACGGGATGTGCTCCCAAGTTTCTCCTTCCCCTTGGAACAACATATGAAACACTACCAGACCGCATGCTACGTCGTACATACTGGCGCTTCACTGGGGAATATTCACTCTCACTGTCACTAGAACTGCTTTCAATGACTTTGAAATCACTATCACTATCACTGCTATCATCAGGGTGTTGTACACGACCAAATAGTTTCCTCTTTCGTCCTGGTACAGGCGAACGTGAACGTGAACAAGCCGGCACAGCACCAGAGGTCGAAGGTTGTGGTCATCTGGGTTTTCGTCACTATTTACGTTATCCTGGGCACTTTTTTCGGTAACACTCACTTGAAAACCCTTGAATTCACTGTCACTGACACTTTCATCGCTGTTAGAGCTATCACTTGGGAACAAAAGACCTCCAATCCGCCGAGGAGTGAGGAACTTCTTACCGAGAGGCATGGTGAAAATGGACTGACAACATGGCGTTCCCACAATGCACCGCTAGGTCCCAGATTTTTTTCACAGGGTGCACACCGACCACTGAGACCCATTCTCTCCCGTGTAGGCCTATCAGGCCTTTGGCGCTCGATTTGAAGCCGCTAGAATTTGTGCGTATAAATACGTCAGAAACATTGGCTCGTAAGACGTATTTATACGTCAGAAACAGTCAAAGGGTTAATAGGTACATTTGCCATATTCCACTTATCTGGCACCATGTCAGTTTGTAGTGATATGTTGAAAAGACTAGCCAAAGGTTTGCTAAGCCTCTCTTTATGTTCACTTATTTCCCAACATTCCAGAAGTGTGCTAACATTCCCACTCCTTCAGAGTGCAGGCACTGCCCTTCCCACCTCCAGGACTCTAGTCTGGCTATTTGGTTTCCCTAAATCCTTTTATAAAAGTTACCCAGCTCATACTCCAACAGCATGTCCATTAAAATTCATTTTCATAATACAGTGGACCCCTGGTTAATGGCCGTAATCCATTCCAGAAGGTCGGCTGATAACCGAAATGGCCGAAAACAGAATTAATATTTCCCATAAGAATTAATGGAAATACAGTTAATCCATTCCAGACAAAAATATTCACAAAAATTTTTTTTTTTAACAATTATTTAAGTATTACATACCTTTATTGAAGGCTAATGCTGGCTTGTGGAAGATAGGGAAGAGGAAAGAGGGAGGAGTTAGTGTTTGGAAGGGGAATCCCCCTCCATAAAGACTTTAGGTAGCAAAGCCTTCTCTGGGGTTACTTCCCTTCTTTGTCTTTTAATGCCACTAGGACCAGCTTGAGAGTCACTGGACCCCTGTTTCACAAAATAACTGTCCAGAGTGCTCTGTCTGGCATCTCTAAGATTTCCCTGAAGTGGGACAGGGTTTTGTCATTAAACATGTTGCAGATACGACTTGTTTCAGCTTTGTCAGGGTGGTGTTTCTCTACAAAAGCTTCCACCCTAGTCCATATTGCACACACCTCTTTAATCTCGGGAAGAAGGTACCTCCTTCACTCCCTCTTCTTCCTCCTCTGAAGCAAGTTCCTCAGCTGCAGTCTGTTGCTTTTTCAATTGAAGCTCTTGCAACTCTTCAATGGTTAGCTCTTCCCAGTGGTCCTCCACCAACTCTTCCACATCCTCGCCACTCATCTCCAACCCCAGGGACTTCCCCAGTGCCACAATAGAGTTCACAGGGTTGTCAGGGTCAGCCTCAAAGCCTTCAAAATCCCTCTCTTGGGCACAATCTGGCCACAGTTTTCTCCAAGCAGAGTTCAAAGTCCTGGAAGTCACTCCCTCCCAAGCCTTACCTATAAGGCTTATGCAATGGAGGATAGTGAAGTGATTCCTCCAGAACTCTCTTAGGGTTAACTGAGTGTCCGAGGTCACTTCAAAGTACAGTGGACCCCCGGTTAACGAACTTTTTTCATTCTAGTAGTATGTTCAGGTGCCAGTACTGACTGAATTTTTTCCCATAAGGAATATTGTGAAGTAGATTAGTCCATTTCAGACCCCCAAACATACACGTACAAACGCACTTACATAAATACACTTACATAATTGGTCGCATTTGGAGGTGATCGTTAAGCGGGGGTCCACTGTACTTTTGAAACACTGCTTTTGTGTAGAGTTTTTTGAAGTTAGAAATGACCTGCTGGTCCATGGGCTGGAGGAGAGAAGTGGTGTTAGGAGGCAAGAACTTCTTTTATAAAATTGAAGTCCCTAAACACTTGGTCTTCCAAGTCTGGAGGATGTGCAAGAGCATTGTCCAGTACCAGGAGACACTTGAGTGGCAATTTCTTTTCCAGGAGGTATTTTTTCACACTTGGGCCAAACACATCATTAACCCACTCTTTAAATATTTGCCTTGTGACCCATGCCTTTTTAGCTTTCCACATCACACACAATCTACTCTTCATGACATTGTTTTTCTTGAACACTCTGGGATTTTCTGAGTGATACACGAATAAAGGCTTCACTTTGAAATCCCCACTAGCATTAGCACACAACATGCGTGTGTCCTGGCAGTGCCTCTAAATTCTATGGTGTTTGTCACTTTCTTTATCACAGGAACTTTCTTTGGAGGCATGGTTACTTATTTCACAGTTGCACTGCAAGAAAACCCACTAAAAATAATGGAAAAAAAGCGAAATGTTTAGATGTATGAACAGAAGCTTCCTCAGTGACCGAGAGACAAAGCCAAACTGATGCGCAAGCAGCCCAAGCCGGCAGATGGACGCATCCCAAATGGCCGATAACCGAATTAACGGCCGATAACTGGGCGCCAAAAAACTGGCCGATAACAGAACCAGCCAATAACTGGGGGTCCACTGTGAGCTATAGAATTCTTCCCTCTGTAAGCCATGTGTTGTAAAAGGTGACTAAATTGCTGGGAACAAGGGGCTCATTACCCCTTCTTCTGTATTCAGTTACTAAAAAGTCAAATTATTATTGCTGTTGTTATTGCTTTTATTTATGTTGTTGTTATTGTTGTTGTAACAGCTGCTGCAGTTGCTGCTGCTTCAACTTCTGTGAGAGTTTGTTTAGAAAAAGCTACAAACTATAAAATCTGGCCTCTAGTTGAGAGATTTCCAGTTCCTGGGTTCAAGAGAGCATCCCTCTATTCACAAGCTGGGTTTGAAGGACTGTAAATTCAAATCTGTGCAGAAGTCATTCTCAACCAGGAGCTGAATTTTAAAATTAATGCATAAATGTATTTGTTCACAATTGAATTGAATGTTTTATATACATTTAGACTGTCCTTTTCTCTTTTAATTAACTTTATTTGGTTACCTCCCAGAAATATGAACATAATCTGTAATTTATCTTACAGGTCAAAGCTGAGCTCCAGAGGGTAAAAAGTGAGCACAATAATCTGAAAGAACAGCTTCAGGATAGTGAAATGGCACAGAAAAACTTAGAGGATGCACTGTCCTCCACACGTTTAGAAGTGTCAGAACTGCGGACTCATCATGATTTAGCTGTCCAAGAGAAACAAGAGGCAATGAGTAAATTAGCAGTTTTGTCACAGTACTTTGAAGAAAAAGAAGCACAACTTACCAAGTATGCTACTTTATATAATTTGCAATTATTAATTCCTATACAGTATAACTAACAATGTCCTTATTTAAAAAAATTCTCTTAACCCTTTCAGTGGCCATCACGTAGAAATACGTCATTATGGCCAGAGGTCCCTAACGTAGTTCTACTTCGTGAGCTCGGCTCACTCAAATAAGCCTAGATATGAGAGAATGGGTCTGTGCAATGAGTGTGCATTATATAAAAAGTCCTGCCTCACACGGTGCAAGACAGAAAAAGCAAAACTAGCTAAGATAACCTAATTAGTCACTGTTCACTTGTCTGAATATGTAAGCCTTAGTGCATCCAACCTGGCCTACTAGGGCAACATGAACCCTCTCCACACATTTCTAGATCAACAAGCAATGACATCTACAGTGTGAGGTGTCAAAAAATTTATTTTCATGAATAAAGAATCTTGAAAATTTTTGGCTTTTTTTTTGAGGCATCGTGGAACATAGCCAAGTTTTTACCCAAATTTTTCACTGCACACATTGCATTTTCATGTATAGCTCTGTTTTAAGGAATTTAACCAGTACGATAGGTAGGGGCCTACTGTAATTTGGAATGAGGTTGGTACTACAGTTGGTATGGGTGTAATATGTGGATGAGTGGAGGAATCATGAGGAGGTTGGTAGGAAGGTCATGCTCAGTAGGTATGAAAAATAGTGAGGAAGTAGAGAAGTGGCTGCTTGAGTTGTGGCTGAAGGAATGAAAGTAGGTTGAGAGGGTTGTGCTGTTAGTGTCTGTCTGAAAATGGGGCTGAAAGTTTATAGATTGGTGTGTTGGGTACACTGTTTCTTTACTCTTTTTTTTTTTTGGGGGGGGGGGTTACCTTTTTTTTTTTTAGTCAGTTTTTTTTTTTTTTATCTTTTGCTCAACATCAGTTTTTAAACACTTCTTTTTTTTTTTTCTTCAAATTGTTTCTTTATTTTAAGTTAGGTTAACTTAATTTAGATCATGTTAGGTTATATTTAACCACACAAAAATAAGCGAATATGAAAAACAGGTCGCAGTACCTCTGGCAATAGGGTGGACGATGAAAAATTGCAAACGTTTAAATCTGAGCATTTATCTTTTATGGCACAAATATGGTCTACAGGTCCTATAATAGGAAAGACAAAGTACAAAAACTTATAAATCTTCTGTGCTTTTTTACCTTCTTTATATTTTTGCTGTACAAAATCTTATCAACACCTATCCTCTAGATATTAACCTTCCATTTCATCACAGTAATACACATAATTGCAGTGTGATTACTACTACTGCCAACTCTGCTTTCCACTGTCTACTCATTTTCTGCTCTTCTTGCCCTCTCAAATACATTGGTGAACTTGGCTGCTTTCTCTCTGACAAAGAACATTAGGGAAGTGTTTGTCTCTCTGACCCCAACAGTGCTCTTCTCTGTCATATTAAAGAGGAGTACTATCGTATAAGCTATTCCTCTGCCAAAGTTATCTATCCCTCTTGTAACCTCCAAAGATGCTGTTTTGTTAGTCACCCTCATACACAACATTCCTAATGTGAATCTTAGCCCTGGTTTTGTTTCAGTTGATGTCTGTTTTTCCAGTGCATTGTTAAATGCTGTAATCTTTAATCCTTTCAGGGTCGGCAGGCCCTCTCCTAAACTTGTTCTCAAGGTCGGAAATTTTTGAAAAAAAAAAAAATTGATTTTTTCTTATGAAATGATAGAGAATCTTTTCCTGATCATAATGACACCAAAAGTATGAAATTTGATGGAAAACTTATGGAATTATGCTCTTGCAAAGTTAGCGGTCTCGACGATGTTTACGCATTGGCGATTTCGCCCACTTTGATCCCTATTTTTGGCCAATTGCAATGTACCAGTCGACAAAAATCATAACTATTTCGCTAGAACTCCATTTTTTCTATCGATTGAGTACAAGAAACCACCCATTTACTGATTTCAACTATCTAGTAAAGTCAGAAATTGGCAATTTTGCCAATTTCACTCAAATTTCAAAAGATACCAGTTTCCAAATAGGGTTCAGAATAAACAAGACAAACATTCCTGGCACTAAAATAACATTTCCTCTTTTCATTAGTCATGTCCCCAGGCCTCTGTTACATTTCTTTTGCTTTCCACTTTGAATTTTTATTCTCACAAAAAATAGAAGATTTATTGTTATGCAGACTACTGTATTAGTGTAGAAATAGTGTAGAAATGGTATAAATAATATCAGCTTACTTGTGAAAGAATATTAGACTCACCAGTTGACGTGTATTAGACGCATGGCATGATTTGTTTACTTTTGAACTTTGGCAAAAATCGAACATTTCTGCTACTTTGAGCTCAATTTCAAGGTACTTTTCTTTGTGAAACTAATCAAAATCATCTCAATTTCTGTAATATGTCTTCCATTCTTTAAAATGAGACCAGGAAAGCTAGAATACAATCATAAATACCATACACTGCAAAGCCGCTGTTTTAAACAAAAAACACAGTTGGAGTTTTTTTTCTCATTGTACACTGTGTGCTGCAGGATTTTTTTTTATACTGTGCACACTGACCACATTCTTTCATATGTAGGCTTACCAGCTTTCTCTCGCTAGATTTGAAGGCGCTAGAATTTATGAGTACTAGTATGGCACCAACCCTGAAAGGGTTAAAACACATGAGTTGACCTGGCCTGATCAGTCTGTTTTTTTTATTTGGCCTGTCAACTGACTTTCTCTGCATCTACTATAACTTGTCTTGTGGTTTTTCTCTGCTTTTTTCCCTTCTGGGTTAAAAATGGATTTTGAAACTGTTAAAGAATAGGTCAACCTCTAAAGGCAGCAAGATATATATCACTGCTCAATGTACATGTAAGGTATAGGTTTAATAAATGGCAGTACAATAGCTTTAATTTGAAAGCTTATGCCAACACTATTTTTCAGGGAACTGGAGTCACAAGAAGGCTTAAGATTAAATGCTGAAGGCTCAGTTGCAACAGTATCTAAGAAGATACAAAATTGTGGGCTGGAGTTGGCAACTTATAAGTAAGTGATTGTTTAATTAAATTAATACTGAAAGTTATACTAAATGTAAATATTAAATTCTGAAACATTTACAGCATAAAGTAATAGGCAACCCATTTGCTGGGATTTTATAGGAATTGTTAAAGAAGGGGTAAAATAAAATCAGAGGATATGGTATGAAAGTCAAATGGGGAATGCATGACTTGTAGATGGCATGAAGTGCTAATGCACAAAATTTAAGTTTGATAAGATTAAAGGTTGGTGTAGTGGTTACTTATGTACTGCTTTTTGACAAACAAAAAAATCAGTATACTAAAACTTGGGATTTTCAGGTATTTGAGTGTAAGCCTTATTTGCAAATTTTCTTTCAACAAACTGGCTATACCCCTGAAACAGGGTGGGGCCCAAAAAGGAAAAAAAAAAGAAAGTTTCTTCTTTTAAATTTTTGTATTATGTCAGGAGAAGGGGTTTTCTAGCCTTTTGCTTTTATTTCTGGAATTGATATTTAAACAGAATTTGAAACTTTTTTCAGAGCTCAAGTGGAAAGCCCACGTAAAGAAAAGAAGACAGGGAGAATTCAACAAGGGACGATACCAGCCATGAAAAAAGGCTCAGAAAATTGGGGGGAAGGAAAAAACATTAAACATGGTTTGGATAAATTTTATAGGAAACTTATCTTTCTTTATTTTTTTTGTATTTGTAAATGGAAATGCTTTTGTGCTTTCAGTAACACCATTTTACACAAGATAAACGGGAAAAATTTGTATACTTTTCAGTTTAGTCTTGCGTAAAAATGTCATTATTTTAAGTAGAGCCCTTACAAAGTGCAGTTTATGTTCCGAAAAATTTTCGCTTTTTTCACATTAACATTATTCAAGGGGAAAAATGTATACATAAAAAAAAAAGGGCTACTTCTTCGGATTTTGTTGTATTTTAAGTAGACGTATCAGAATTTTAATTATTTTATTTCAAAAATTTATTTTTTGGCCCAAAAATAATAATACATGATTTTAGGGCAAGTTTGTGGTGCTGATTCTGAAAATGTCGTCGGTTTTGCTTGATTGGCTCTAGTTTTTGAGAAATTTGGTATCCTATCGAAAAACATAAAAGATGTGAAAAATATGTTGATCAGGCAGGGCTAGCTTACTAATCACATTGAAATTATTTTTTAGATCATGCAAGCAAGCAAGAAGTTTACCACCTTCATATCAACACAGATAGCAAAGCTTATGCAAGCCCATTTTAATATTTTCGTATTCTTCTTTAAGTTTTGTTGAGCGAGCGATTGGAAGAGTAATGCATATTGGTTACCATTGTGCAATAAGACACATTTCAAGCTTCTAATGGAGCTGTCTGTAAACAGCCCCCAATCTCTTGGTCAATATCTAAGTCCCATTCGAGGAAGTAGTCCAGGGATGTTATTGCAGTATACAAGTTCTTCATCTTGGCTGAAGCAGGGAAGGAGTTCAACCTCTCTTGTCCAATAAACTGTTATTTTAACTTGTTGTTGTAGACAGTTCTTTTCTTTTAGTCTGGATGCTGGAAGTTTAGATGCTTGCTTTGACAGACTGAGGTTGCATATCAGATCATTGAGATCTTGGGAGAGCTGCTGGGGTATTGAAATGCTTACTTCATATTCACTTCCACTGCTGTCACCTCTGTCACATCCTAAACCCTAAGTTTCTTCAGTATCTGACAATGGAAGGTCAGGCAGTGTTGTAAACAATAAAAACATCTTCGCTGTGTGGCACAGGTCTCTTTGCTGACTGTAAATCAGGATATTCCCACTTGAATTTCTTGTATTGATTGAAACCTTTCACATTCACCATACAAAAATAGCAATCATTGTGGTGGATTTTCAACTCTCTCCACACCATAGGCACACTGATATTTAAATTTTTCCTTTGCCTATTTTTCCACTGTCATAAGCATTTTACACAAGTTTTCAAACCATATGGGGAGCCCAAGACTTGTCTTGTTCTCCAAGCACCACTCCAAAATAAGCAAGATAAGCTTGTTTTACAAAATCTGTGATGTTTTTTCTTTGTTTTTGCAATGAGTATTCACCACAAATGTAACAAAATGCATTGGGATTGTTTAAGCAGGCTCTTCATGAAAAACTCGCGTTTCTTTAGAAAAAATAAGAAAAAGGTTACAATATTGTCATGTGGTTGTTGTTGATAAAACTCCTTTCATTAAATATAAATAATTTAAAAATAAAATTCTAATCTTAATCAAAACTATCTTCTCTTTTTTCAACAAACTGGCCATATCCCACTGAGGCAGGGTGGCCCAAAAAGAAAAACAAAAGTTTCTCTTTAAATTTTGTAATATATACAGGAGAAAGGGTTACTAGCCCCTTTCTCCCAACATTTTAGTCGCCTCTTATGACACGCATGGCTTACAGAGGAAGAATACCATTTTTAAAACTATCTGTACATACAAGTTGTTGCTACGTATACACACATTATGGCAAAGTTTTCTGTTAATTGAGGGTAGGTATGCAATATCTCACAAACTAGAACCAATTTCAAAAACCTACTGCCATTTTTTAATTCAGCAACCCCAAAATACCCTAATTATGTTCAAATATCTGTGGCAATGACAAAAAAAAAAACTGTTGACCAATAATTACAGTGGAACCTCGGTTTTCATCATTAATTCGTTCCAGAAAGTCTGACGAAAACTGAATTCGATGAAACCTGAAGCAATATTTCCCATAAGAAATAATGTAAATACAATTAATCCATTCCAGACACCCAAGGTATTAACTAAAAATACATTTTATAGAGAATAACTATAGTTTTACATACAGAAAACAATGAGAAATAAATATAAAGGACTAATGAAATGGATAAATGAACATTTAACATCACTTTTACTTTTATTGAAGACTCTTGTTGGCGTATGGAAGACAGCGAGGAGGGGAGAGGGAGGAGAGGTTATCTGTACCACCACTACTGCCCTCTACCACAATCACTACCACCATCACAGCCACTACCACCTTCTACCATCACTACCCCCTTCTACCACCATCACTACCACCCTCTACCACTATCACAACCACCACCTACCACCACAACCACTACCACCCTCTACCTACGAGAAACAAAGCCAGACTGACTCAGAACATGTGGGATGCGTTGTGTGGGTGCTGGCAGACATGTTTGGTACGACGGACCACTGTCATCTCGACGAAAACCGAGGTGATAAATGAAAACTGGGACAAAATTTTGATGAAAAAAGTCGTTGAAAACTGAATTCGACGAAACCAGCGCAAACAAAAACCGAGGTTTCACTGTATTGATATAAAATGGCTGGAGGAGTTTTATATACAAAACTAACTGATTTCAAATGAATTAGTCATTTTTTTTTTATTAGAAAAAGACATTGTATTTAACTGCTTATTTTATTAGTTGCAAGCACGAGCTGCTGAACGCAAACTTGAAGAGCAGAGACAAGAGAATAGTCAGCTTCGTAATCGCCTCACTCTGCTGCAGAAGGAGAAAGAGGAGGCACAGCAATTACAAGTCAATATAATCAAACCAACACCAAACT